TCTGGCCAAGGTTACAACAAAATTTCTGCTGCACTTAAGGTTCCCAAGAGCACAGTGGCCTCCATTCCTTAAATGGAAGACGTTTGGGATGACCAGAACCCTTCCTAGAGCTGGCCGTCTGGCCAAACTGAGCTATCGGGGGAGAAGAGCCTTGGTGAGAGATGTAAAGAAGAACCCAAAGATCACTGTGGCTGAGCTCCAGAGATGCAGTCGGGAGATGGGAGAACGTTGTAGAAAGTCAACCATCACTGCAGCCCTCCACCAGTTGGGGCTTTATGGCAGAGTGGCCCGATGGAAGCCTCTCCTCAGTGCAAGACACATGAAAGCCTGCATGGAGTTTGCTAAAAAACACCTGAATAAGATTCTCTGGTCTGATGAGACCAAGATAGAACTTTTTGGCCTTAATTCTAAGTGGTATGTGTGGAGAAAACCAGGCACTGCTCATCACCTGTCCAATACAGTCCCAACAGTGAAGCATGGTGGTGGCAGCATCATGCTGTGGGGGTGTTTTTCAGCTGCAGGGACAGGACGACTGGTTGCAATTGAGGGAAAGATGAATGCGGCCAAGTACAGGGATATCCTGGACGAAAACCTTCTCCAGAGTGCTCAGGACCTCAGACTGGGCCGAAGGTTTACCTTCCAACAAGACTATGACCCTAAGCACACAGCTAAAATAACGAAGTTCACAACAACTCTGTGACTGTTCTTGAATGGCCCAGCCAGAGCCCTGACTTAAACCCAATTGAGCCTGTCTGGAGAGACCTAAAAATGGCTGTCCACCAACGTTTACCATCCAACCTGACAGAACTGGAGAGGATCTGCAAGGAGGAATGGCAGAGGATCCCCAAATCCAGGTGTGAAAAACTTGTTGCATCTTTCCCAAAAAGACTCATGGCTGTATTAGATCAAAAGGGTGCTTCTACTAAATACTGAGCAAAGGGTCTGAATACTTTGGACCATGTGATATTTCAGTTTTTCTTTTTTAATAAATCTGCAAAAATGTCAACAATTCTGTGTTTTTCTGTCAATATGGGGTGCTGTGTGTACATTAATGAGGAAAAAAAATTAACTTAAATGATTTTAGCAAATGGCTGCAATTTAACAAAGAGTGAAAAATGTAAGGGGGTCTGAATACTTTCCGTACCCACTGTATATAGGGCTCCAGACAAAAAAAAATTAAGGAGCCATTGGCTCCTATAAGAAACAAAATTAGGCACCAAATAATTTTTTTAAGTACCACAGAATAATTCATTTATTTATTTATTCATATTTTTTAACACTTTAACATTTCAGTCATCCTGTCATGTGTTTATGTCTAAGTCCTCTATTGCTCCTGTCTCTCACGGTGTTCCCCAGGGTTCGGTTCTTGGGCCATTACTCTTCATCATCTATATGCTCCCTTTAGGTAACATTATCTGTCATCACGGCTTCAACTTGCTATGCAGATGACACCCAGCTCTATATCAGTTCTCAATACAACCCTCCCTTTCCCACCAACTCCATATCAGCTTGTATTAATGATATAAATGCTTGGATGACCATTAACTTTCTCAAACTCAACACTGATAAAACAGATCTACTACTTGTCGGTTCACCAAAAAATGTTGCTCCTTTCTGTGCTGACAATGTTAACATTGCTGGGATCTTGGTTCGACCTTCCACCTCCGTTAAAAACCTGGGTATAATCTTTGACTCCTCTCTCTCCTTCCTACCTCACATTTCTTCACTCACTAAATCTGCCTTCTTTGACCTCCGTAATATCGCTCGCTTCCGTCCCTTCTTAAATATCAATGATGCTGAGACACTGGTTCATGCCTTCATTACTTCTCGACTTAACTACTGTAATTCTCTTTTCTATGGTCTACCAAACACAACATTAAATAAGCTCCAATATATCCAGAAATCTGCAGCTAGGGTTCTCACTTCTTCAAAAAAATCTTCTCACATTACTCCCATCCTACACAGACTTCATTGGCTACCCATTCGTTTTCGTATTCAATACAAGATTCTCCTCATCACCTTCAAAGCACTTCATGGTTTCGCCCCCCCATATATTTCTGATCTCATTCATACTTACTCCCCAGTTCGCACACTACACTCTTCAGATACTGGTCTACTGTTAATTCCACGCCACAGGCTAGCATCGCTTGGTGGACGAGCGATTTGTATCTCTGCCACACTATTCCTAAACACATTTGTGATCTTTCTTCATTACAGGATTTCAAAACCCACCTTAAAACATATCTTTTCCTTTCTTGTTTCTCTGATCTCTAACTGCATGATCTGAAAGCGACCTTGATTTTGCAGAAAGGTGCTATATAAAATAAACTTCTTCATCTTTTCTTGTCTTTATTAACATTTTAATCCATCTTGTAGATGTCCTGGGAACTATTGTTCACTTAAAGTGGGAACTAAACGTCTTTTCCAACTTGAGAACTACATACAGTCTCAAAGAATTGTTTATTACACATAATCTGTGCCAATATCAGGGCTCATAACTACGTCAGCATCACTGGACCCTTGAGTGTTGTTTGGGCTCCTCCTCAATGCATCTTATAAATGCTCTCATATGTCTTGCACACATCCAGTCTGTTTTTCTTCATTAGTAACATGCAGTTATATAGGAGGTGTTGAATTGTATCTTTAGCTCCTTGCATTCTTTCTTATGTAGACAACAGGTTAAGTAAAAAAATGTCCTCTTTATAGTTATTTTTCTAGCAGACTGATGAGCTTATGGACGCCGAATGGTTATTCTGAGGTAAATGATTGTTACGTGGAATTGTTTACAAGCTTTACATGTTTTCCGCAGTCTGAAACACTGAATGAGCGATTACGAGACATTTCAGTAAGCTGTACTGTATCTCATAAAATACCTTCTGATGTGCATTCATGTTTATTTCGTACTATAGTAGTAAAGAGAAAGACATGATGGGTTCACATGCCGCTTGAACTTGAGGTGCTAAAGCTATTTAATTTTTGAATTTCGTTATGAATTTGGCAGAATTTTAAAGCTGATACTTTGTTTATTAAAAGGTAACAGAGCACAAAGCTTATAGCGATTATTGGATCACGCATTAACAGAACACAGCATATAGACTAAAGATCTTGATAAGAAGAAGCCATATCAGTATCGATTATAAACGAGAGCCGTTAACAATACTGTTAATGTCCACACAGCTGAGAGCTTTACCTGTTGTAGTTTGTTCAAGTTGTGCACGAAACGGACCCTACTTTTCTGCACGTCATTTTCAATCTCTCTCACGCTGCCACTACTGGTGTGCCATCAACGCTGGCTAAAACTTTGATGCGCATCGACTCATTACGTCAGCATAAAAGACGTGATCGCAAAACAAGCAGGAAAAAAGGCATTACATGCCAATTTTTTAATCATAACATGTACATTTATATAGTCGCCAGTGGTGATCTCAGCAAAAATATCACTCGCAAATTAATATTTTTGGTCGCAAATGCGACCGTTTTAGGCGCAGTCTGGAGTCTTGTATACATATATATATATATACTTTTTTTTTTTTAAGGAACCATGCAATGATACACATTTCAAACAGTAGTTGTCACCTCAGTACATTACACATTTAATTAAATGTATTTATAAAATAAATTTAATATTTAAAATTTTAATCAAATTTTTGTGTAAAAATTACAATTTGAGCACATTGCATTGTGGGATACATAGTCATATACTGCACAATAAAATATTTGGTGTATGCAGTAGGTCCTCCAAGTATTTAAAGCAAAAAATATATATATATACATAAGTAGCTAAAAAAGATAAAAAAATAAATAATAATTATTATTATTGTGATAACTGTGGTGACTCGAACAAACTGGGTTAAAATGAACTGCTGCTCTTCCATAAACCCCAACTTAGTTGGCCTAGATGTTGAGATCTGAATGGGACAGGAAAAACCAAAAAGCCTGAGAAGGACAGTGACTTACTGGTTTCTTGAGTTTCTTCCGGAAGTACTCATACTTCTGTTTATAGTCTCTGGAGTAAGGCACGGCCTGAAATAAAGCAGAACACAATCAGTTTGCCAATAATCCATGAGCTCTTATCAGATGCTGAGAGCTCCTGACCCAACAGAGATCCTTCAACTCATCCTGGACAAATATAACCTCCCCTTCCCCTCGTGACACACAAACTCCTTACAGGAAACCAATGGGAAGAAATGTACAGGGTTTCAGGCCACTTTTAGAAACAAGATATGGCAAAGATCATTGTGCGTTTCAGCAGTCTCTCTCAATATGATCCATTAATGGCCGCGTCTGTTGGCTCAGTCAGGACCTTTAAACAGAAACAGAAGACCACTTACTGGACCAGTGATGGCTGAATTCTGTAGTCTTGGATCTTCCCACTGTGTGGTTTTTGTATCTAAAAAAGCAAAACAAAAATAAAATAAAAATTGGTATAAATAAAACAACAAGGTAATAAATAAAATAAAACAATAAATTAATTAATAAAACAATAAATAAATACAATTAAAAAAACAAAATAAAAAAAATTTGTATAAAAAGTTATTAAAAATGGTTATAAACAAAAATAAGCACATGACCTCATCCTCTGATTATGACATCATCCGTCTTACCGGCAGTGGGCCGAGGTCAGTGGGGTCAAGGGAGACTCTCCTCCTCACGTGCACGGGAACCTTCAGCCAGGGGTCGTCCTGTGATGGAACAGGAAACAAGATGGCAAACACAGGAAGTACATTTTAGAGTGAACAATGGTGCAATCAAACAACGCACAGGAAAAGCAAAACAAACACTTATTGTAGTAATATACCATGCTAGTACCATGAAACAGCATCATGTCTTGTTTGTGTCTGTCTTACCCATGTGGTGGTCTTAGTGTTGTGGTCTATGAAAAAGGGGCGTCCGTTTGGAGCGCTGCGCACCTCCCATCCGGCCGGCATTAGTCCCGCGTGCTCGGGCGTGTGAGCGCGTGTGTGCTGCGGCGACACATCCGGGGAGAGCGGCGGCGGAGCGTAGCCCGAGGGATTCTGGGAGAGAGACATGACTCCGCCTGCCACTGCTGCTGCTGATGCCTCAGAGGGCGGCTGTATGAGCTGAAATACACAGGTCAAAGGTCAGGGGTTTGAGAGATCAGTCAGAGAAATATTCCGCTGTATTATGCCACAAATTAGGACTGCACGCTGGTTTAACAGTTGAAAATAAAGAAATTAGGAAAGCCACAAAAAGTTGAACTGCAAAATAAAATTATTATTGTTATTATTAATTATTACATGATTTTTCTTATGTTTTTTTTCTTATTTCATTTAATATTTGTGTTTAGTAATATTAAAAATCATAGCAATTTAATAATAAATATAATAATAACAACAGTTATTATTGGTCAAATTGTGCGGAAGTACAAACAAGCACAGCAAACCTGTAGCTAAAAAACAACAACAACTAAATAATAATTATAATTATAATTCTTGTTGTTTTTGTTATAATAATAATAATAATAATTATTATTATTATATAGACATAAAAACAAGCACAGCAAACCTGTAGCTTACAAATAATAATAATTGTTGTTATAATAATAGTCATTATTATTATTATTGTTGTTGTTGCTGTTATTATAACTATATAGTCATAATGATATATAAATCATAACATTTTGGGCCAAATTAACAACAATAATAATAACAATTAATATTATTATTGTTATTTATACTGATAAGTAAAATCACAACATTTTTGGCCAAATTGTGCAGCCCTTCAAACAAGTAGAGCAAACCTTTAGCATGCATAAATAAATGAATAAATAAATAACTGTATTTTGTTGTTGTTGTTATATTGTGCAGCCCGACAAACAAGCCATAAATAAATAATCAATCACATTTGATATTGCAACTTGTGGTTTTAATCAGAAAAAAAAAAACTTTTTTATATTTTTCCCCTGAAACCGTGCAGCACTACCACAAACGCTGTTGATGGAGCTTTCTCCAGAAAGAGAAGTATTCAACCAGGACTGAGACGTACCTGAATGAGAGGCCGTGTCCAGGTTGTCATCCTGCTGTTGTGATTGACGTAATACATTCTCCCTTTACTGTCCTGCTTCTCCTCCCATCCCGGAGGCAGCCCGGCAGACGTGGGTAATAACTACAGGGAAGAACAGAAACCGATAAAGTGAGTAACGAAATGCAGAGAGGGGTGAAATGAGGAGAGTGAAACACGGAAACATATAAATAGTTCATAAATAGCCATCAGTTAGCAGTTCGCCTCTCAAACACAGTGTCCTCTGGGAGCAGATGTGAGCCGAGCTGCAGCTGAGGTGATGTATTGCGAGGTTCAGGGCATGCTGGGAAATCTGGAGCAGCTAAGATTACACATCATGTGCTGAGAGACTGAGAAACACTGAAACTGGAGCACACGGCGAGCGCTCGGTCTGGACTCGGACAGACGGAGATATTTATGAATGTTTTAATGCTCTCACCACGGGGTGAACTGGATGCTCTTCCACCGTCAGGGTCTGTCCACTTCCTCTGCGGCTGCCGTGACCCTGCGGCTGATAAAAACACAATCTGAGATGCAACTACACACTCTGTTGTGTTACATATTGTTTATACTACTAGCTTTAAATGTAACAATGTAACAAGCTGCAACATATTCATGTTCCATTTGGATGCTGATTGGTCAATACGGTGTTCTGCTAAAATTCCCAAAACGGTATATTACCGCACAGAACTCATAAAGGTCAGCTATTAATCTTAGTTTAAATGTCAGATATACTAGTGGAAGGACAAAGGTTCTGAGGTTATGATGAATTATGAATATAGTCAATCTTTAACTCATCAATGTGCCACTTGGAGCATCATATATCAATCATATCAATCAGTATTTTGCACCCGTCACAAAAACATCAAGACACATTGACACATGTTGTATCAGTGGCTTGATGTGAGGAAAATTTCTTGTATGTCGCCACATAAATTTGGGATCTTACATAAATGTCTGTAAGAAGTTAGATCACTAGAATGACTTTGATTTGAATTGCTTGTGTCACTTACAAGTTTGGGGTTGGAAAGGTTTTTTCAATGTTTTTAATAGTCTCTTCTGCTCACTATAGCTGCCTTTATTTAAAATAACAGTAAAAACTATGAAATATTATTACAATTTAAAATAGCTGTTTTCTATGTGAATATATACTAAATTGTAATTTATTTCTGTGATCAAAGCTGTATTTCAGCATCATTCCTCCAGTCTTCAGTGTCACATGATCTTCAGAAATCAGTATAATATGCTGATTTGCTGCTCAAGAAACATTTCAGATTATTATAGATGTTTAAAACAGTTGCGTTGCCGAATATTTTTGTGGAAACTGTGATATATTTAAATATTTAGGTTTCTTTGATGAACAGAAATTTCAAAAGAACAGCGTTTTATTGAAATGGAAATCTTTTGTAACATTATAATTGTCTTTACTGTCACTTTGGATCAATTTAATGCATCCTTAATGAATAAAAGCATTGATTTCTTTATTTTATTTACTTGTCAAAGACTCCATCGGTCTCATTTATTCATGAGTGTGTGTGCGTGTGTGTGAGAGAAAGAGTGTGTGTGTGTGCGTGTGTGTGAGAGAGAGTGTGTGTGTGTGTGTGTGTGAGAGTGTGTGTGTGTGTGTGTGTGAGTGTGTGTGTGTGTGTCTGTGAGTGTGTGTGTGTGTGTGTGTGTGTGTGTGTGGACTGACCGTGAGGGACGTGCGTCTGTCGTTTCCGGTCTGCAGTCTGCTGACCTCCTCACAGAATCCCGTGAACTCCATCGGGGAGTGGGGAGGCGGCGGCGAGCGCTCGCTGTGGCTGTTATAAAGCGTGGTCTCATCTGCCGTTATGATCTCCCAGCTCTACAGAACACACACACAGATGTGAAAGTGTGTTGTTTGTCAGGGAGTTTTGAAGAAAGTGTGTGTGTGTGTGTGTGTGCGCGAGTACCTCAGGTGACTCTCTGCACTCGTGGTTCTCGTTGTGTTCTGATATTTGTCTGCGTGTGAGGAACGCCCGCTGGGACTCGATGTGTGTATCCTGTCTCTGTTCATTGTCTCTTTGACTGTCCCTGTAAATCAGGACAAAACACACACTTCAGCGCTCAGAAAGACTCAAATGAAGAAGATGAGGGCGCCGCTGACCAGCAGAGAGCAGAGGACGGAAACAAGAAGCCTGTCTTAAGTATAACAGGATGATTGACTTGTAGGGAGTAATGGCCTGCTGATTGTTTTCTTAATATCTATACAAAACAAATACATGATGTTACAAAAAACTGTATTTAGAGGCTCTAAATGATTTGTTTATATCCTGGTTATAAAAACTCCTAGGTTGTTTTTTTTAATGATTTTTGAACGAAAAAAAATAAATTAAATAAAAGTAAACTAAAATTAAATTAAAACGAAAAAAATAAAATAAAAACATAATAAAATACAAAAAAAGATCAAATAAAATCAATCGAAAAATACAATAAAATTCTACAAAAAACAAATACATGATCATCAAAAACCATATTTAGTGGCTCTGATTGATTTGTTTATACCCTGGTTATGAAAACTCCTGACCTTTTTTTATGATTTATATATATATATATATATATATATATATATATATTGCATATACAGAGTGAACGGGGAAAAAGAAACAAAAAATAAAACTAAGTAAAATAAAATAAATTAACAAAACAAAACAAAATAAATACTAAAAATAAATATAAAATAAATTTGAAAACAAACAAAAATAAAACACAATGAAACATTACATATACAGAGTGAAATACAATTAAAAATAAATAAATAAATAAAACAAAGTAACATAAAATAAAAAAACAAAAATATGAAAAATAAAGATAAAATAAATCTAAAAAGCAAAATAGAATAGAATAAAAATAAAAATAAATAATAAAATAAAACTAAACTAAATAAAATAAAATACTGACCTTTTAAAAGGTAAAGTCTTAATGGCCTTTTGTTTCTCAGTCAAAGTGCAAAATATATATTTGATGTACTAAAAACCGATTTAACAGTAATTATAGTACACAATGTGATTCAGGTAGTCAAGCATGACCCTAGCAACACCAAGGTCACGGGGTCGCGTAATTTTGAATATGATTGATTGATTGATTATAATTTAGCATCATGCCAGCTACCACAGCTATATTAATGGCAAGAAACAAGCGAAAACTAGAAAAAGTAAATAAATAAACGATATAAAATAACAAATAGAAACTATAACATTTTTATCTTTGATTACGTCATTAAAAATCTTGTCACTTTGAATAAAACCATGTGCCAAATGGAATGAACGAAAAAGATCAATGCAAATATTTACATAGCGTATTGGTCTTGTGAATGTCGTAGGTTTTGTGTATGCATGTTTCTAACGTGTGTTGATCGTGTGTGTGTGTTTGTTTAAAGTAGGAGATCATTACTGGATGGTGGGTCTGTGCCACTGGGTGGTCCTGCTCTCGTGGTTGACGTAGTAGGTTCGTCCCAGGTTGTCCTGCCTCTCCTCCCAGCCAGGGGGCAGCGCAGGCAGCTGGTGAGGATGGTGAGGACTGCATAATTCATGAGGCTCCAAAAACTCCCAACCAGGCTACGAGACAGAAATGAGCAGAGCATTAACACACAGGGCTGTTACTTTTCTTGCATGCAATTCTATTGTTTGTTGGTATGATCAAATGGTACTTTGCATGAAAAGTAGTTCAATGGCTGGTAACTAAGTGACTTTACGGTCATGTAACAGTCGCTCTGGGGCAACCCGGACCGGCGTGACCAGGACTGTGAATTCAGGAACGATTCATCTCCATTTAATCTGGTGTTGGCAGCACTTCTGAGCGAGTTTTGGACGTCTGAAATCACGCCTGTATACATTGTACACTCGTACAATGAGAGCGGCTGGAAAAGTACACAGTGACTCTGCTGGTTCTATATTAAAGTTATTGTGTATAAGTATAACACATTTGTTTGTGCACAAAACAAATGTCATTAGTTTGCCGAGGGCTTTGTTTCTTTTGTTTGGAAACCTGATAACACGCGATGCCAGTTAAATAAATGCTAATGTGTTCTGAATGGTAGCTTAGTGACCCAATTTAAATATTGGTCACTAGTTATTTTAGTATCAATGAGATTCTATTGGAGTTTTCATTCATTTGAATTCGTTTTTTATATTTATATTCATTTTATATTATCTTTCAATTTGGTTCAAGTTTTAGTAATTTATTGTGCATTTTAGTGATTTTTATTAGTTTATATGTCTATGTAGTTTTTATTATTTTTTATTTCAGTTTCAATTTTAGTTAATTTAGAACATCAGGTTAAACTACATGAAAATGAGAAATGTTTCCATGGGAACTAGTTGAACTAAAATAAGTTTAAGTTATTTTATGTTTTAAAATGCTTGTTTTTTTTTACTTTTAGTTAACAATAATAACCCTGGATAATACAAATACAATAAAATGAAATCAAATAAAAAGCTGCTGAATAAATAAAATAAGGCATCTGAGGTCAACCTAAAATAATAGAACATTAAAATAATAAAACAAATTAAGATAATAAAATAAAATAAAACATTGATGAAAAAAACGAGAGATCTGAAATCCATGCCAACCTAAAAAAACCTGAATAGAATAAAATAAAATAATAAATAAAATAAAAACCCCGACTTTAAAGGTAATATCTTTACATTATCTTATGTTTCTCAGTAAAAGCACAACATTTATATTTGATTTACTAAAAACAAATATAACAACAGTAATAGTGATGTCTGTATAAGTAAACTTCATTCACATTAAATTCAACAACAGAATCAAATACAAATAAATGCAGCTGCCACAAATATTAAATGTAACTGAGAGTCATAATTTCAGATTTTCTCTTTAAGGACATATAAAGCCTGTCTATCTGTCATTTTTTTCAGAAATAAAACCCAGCGCAAGGTCAAAACCTGTCTGAAAAGCTTTGTGAATCAGGGAGAATTGTGCTTAAGGAAACAAAGCATTTTTCATTCAAGGACAGGCCACGACAGAAAGTGCAGATGGAAGAGGAATATAAAATGCTTTCATGGTCTCTCCATCCAACACAAATACTTGCAGGAGGCGCTGCTGCAAACGACACCACTAAAGGTACTTCTCATAAACAAATCAGACCAGATGAGCCACATTCAAAGCTGCTGGAAATCATCAATTGTGACCCTGGAGCACAAAACCAGTCATAAGGGTCAATTTTTCAAAATTGAGATTTATACATCATCTGGAATGCTGAATGAATGAGCTTTCCATTGATATATGGTTTGTTAGGATAGGACAATATTTGGCCGAGATACAACTATTTGAAAATCTGGAATCTGAGGGTGCAAAAAAAATCAAAATTTTGAGAAAATCATCTTTAAATTTGTCCAAATTAAGTTCTTAGCAATGCATATTACTAATCAAAAATTAAGTTTTGATATATTTACGGTAGGAAATGTACAAAATATCTTCATGGAACATGATTTTTACTTAATATCCTAATGATTTTTGGCATAGAAGAGAAATGTATAATTGTGACCCATACAATGTATTGTTGGCTATTGCTACAAATATACCCCAGCAACTTAACACTGCTTTTGTGCTCCAGGGACACAATTGTACTTTATACATACAGCCGCGTTATATTGTGAATACTGATACTGAACACATCCTTCAGCTCCCTCCTGCAACTTTAACACTTTCTAGTTCTTTTAAAGAACATTCTGTGATTCTAAAATGAAAATGTTGTGTTTGTCACCAAAGCTTGTGCTTGTGTGCATCGTTCTTACATCCAGATTCTCGTTCTGTTCGGCTGGGTCGTCCTCCGTGTCGCTGTTTTTGGGCAGGTAAGTCATCTTCAGTCGCAGATGACCTTTCACCCTCGACTTGTGACTGTATCGAAACGGTTAAACAAACACATCAACTGCATCAAATTACCAGAAAAACATAATTTTAAACATAAAACTCCACTGAAGTGTATCGGAAGTGTTGACATGTACATGTTTGAAATGAAAACAGTTCACAGTTATGTGATGTCATAGCAGGTCGAAGGGCTTCTCACAACAACAACAGAGTTGTGAGCGTTCGGTTAAAAACCATCATGTTTGGGGAGTAAGGCATGCAGGTATTCAGGCAGTAAAAACTGCAGTAAAATCTCCGGCTAACCTTCTCGGGTGCAACAGGAAGTCCTTGAAAGTGTACGGCCTTTCATTGTTCAGATTTTCTGTCTGTGGATATAAAAAAAGATATATATATTTATGCATTTACATATACATATGTGTATTGCCTAAAAAGAATTGCCATTATTTGTGTAATTCAACTCAGTCTAAATATGTCTAAATAAATAGAATTATATTAATTTATTTATTGTTATATATATATATATATATATATATATATATATATATATATATGCGTTAATGTAGTATTTTTTTCCTAAATAAATATTTATATTTATTTAAATATTTATTTATGTAGACTGTTACTATATATGCGTTCATTTTGCATTTATTATTTATTAATTAATGCGCGCGCACACACACACACACACACACACACAAACACACACACACACACACACACATATATATATATATATGTCTGATTTTTGTATTATTTGTAAACATAATAATAAATAATTCTGTTGACAAATTGTTTTATTTATTTACTTATCTATTTATGTATTTTACACTAATGACATTCTACGAACCTGTCATATTAGTAAAAATGAATGGGTGGGAGGAGTTTAAGGACAGTATAAGTTTGCATTACTCATGTTAGGTTGCTTTCCTGGCAGTTTGGTAGCAAAAAAGTTGAAAGATGTTTCAATTTATTGGATTGGCTTTACTGATTGGTAGATCAATACCAACAGGTAAGATGTCTATTCAAATCTAAATATTTGAGTATGTGATGTATATGGTATAAGTATAATCATAACTAAAGTCTTTGCTGCAAAAAAAAGGATTTAATATTTATATATGTGTACATATTACATATATATATACATATATTAGGGCTGCACAATTAATCAAATTTCTAATCACAATTACAATTATGGACGTCACAATTACGTAATCGTTCAAAGCAGCAATTAATCGTTGAAAAACCACTTATGTTATTCTGCATGCTTAAGATGCGTTTTTTTCTTTCTACATGTTATCTGAAGGGTATATGTTAATTTTTTTTTTTTTTTGCTAAATGCATACATAAATATTTACTTATTATTTATGTAGACTATATATGCATTAATTTTGCATTATTATTATTATTATTTATTTTTTTGTGGCTGATTTCTTCAGCCTACAAGGTAAAGAGCCAAGTTGTTAAAGATATTTTTAAGTCTTAATGTTTATGATCACTCAGCCAACACACACACACATGTATATATATATATAGAGAGAGAGAGAGAGAGAGAGAGAGAAAGTATAATGTTCACAGTGACTAATAATGAGGCACCACTGAGCACCTCCAAAACCAGGTTTATTTTACGATGCCATGTTAGTGTGTCTCTGAAGACATATGAGGTGGACCTTCTAAAAATAACACCTGCATTTAACCTACATTCATGACAATACAAGTCAGCAGCTTCAACAAAACACACACAATATAATGATGAGAAACACTCACAGGGATCTGGTGCAGAGGAACGTCCACTTGTCCGAGGAAGTCATCTCTCGTCTGCAGAAAATCAAGAAAACAGAAAACACACATCAGAGAATCAGTCACAGAAACAACTGAACATAACACATACAAAATGAACTAAACACATTAACACTGAGCTTGTCTGACATCAATCTCAATTAGAGATACACGATACTAAATTTCTCCTCCGATACCGATAGCCGATTATTCAGAATGATATCTGCCGATACGGATACTGTTTAGGTTTCTTAAGAAGAAGAAAAACCTCTCCCAACTAATGCTGTAAACTATACAGGAGCCCTATCATTTGGCACATAATATAGAGTAGTATAGCATAAAAAAAAATTTTCTTCTTAGATATAAAAATAAAAAAGAGTGTCAAAACGGCGTTTATAATGTTAATTTTGAAATAAAATGTACCGGTTTTGAAAGCTTATCAGAAGTAGCAAAGCACAAATGTCTTCGCGATTATTGGATTAGAGGTGTGTTAAAAATAATGTTAGGTGAAGGGAAAACACACACACACAGACACACACACACACACACAGGCTGTTCATCTACTGCAAATCACTGGAAGTGAATTCTAACACTTGAATCAGACATAAAGCTCAGTGTGTTATGAGTCTGAACAGTGCGCTCATTGTTTACAGAGATATAAATACATGTGTTATATATAAACAAGGTTTAATAAAGGTAGACTTCCCTGTGGTCTATCCCTCAGACTGTGAGTGAGCGAGCTGCACAAATAGAGAGAAGGTAAAAGTAGGCTGAGAGAGAGAGAGAGAGAGAGAGAGAGAAAACGAAGGGAACGAGAACGAGAACGAGAACGTGTGTTTTCGGAACAAAATCATTCCCATCCACAAACCTTTTCCAGCTGCTGCTTTTTATTTCAACGGCTGGCTTCCATGAAGCATTTTGAATACATTTTATACCAGGTTTTATACACACACTGTCATTACGCTAACCGAAACAATATGGCAAGTTAAATACACGTCACCTAAATGAGGCTTAAATGCCTTCGGTGTTCAGAACGCTGTCAGATGTTTTGTTGTATGGTAGTGAGGGCAGAATGAAATAACGACTGACCTTGCGCTAAAACGTGTCCACCTACATGCAATATATGACTTCCTTGCAAATGACTTACTCGCTATCAAAGGGTCGTTCAGGTTTTTACAGCGCTCATAAAGCTGTGATGATGACTATAACACATATCTTCCCTCGTTCTTAAGACCTCATATATTCCTGTTTGTGCTGTATTCGGGTCAAACCACAGAGCGGTTCTGCCACTCCGCCGGGCCCCAGATGAGATGACAGACTCAATTAAATAAAAGCATGTTGGGAGAAAACTCTGTTAGTGTCATCTCAGTTATTAAGCTAGATACGACAAAAGGTACTGCAAGATTACAGTGTTTTATAAAGACTATTATATAGTTTAAATATTAAATCGTTTTTTAAAGGGAAGTCGTCTCTCGTCTGCAGAAAATCAAGAAAACAGAAAACACACATCAGAGAATCAAGTCACAGAAACAACTGGACATAAACATACAAAATGAACTAAACACATTAACACTGAGCTTGTCTGACATCAATCTCAATTAGACATACACGATACTAAATTTCTCCTCCGATACCGATAGCCGATTATTCAGAATGATATCTGCCAAAATGGATACTGTTTAGGTTTCTTAAGAAGAAGAAAAAACTCTCCCAACTAATGCTGTAAACTATACAGGAGCCCTATCATTTGGCACATAATATAGAGTAGTATAGCATTCCATTTTTTTTTCTCTTAGATATAAAAATAAAAAAAGAGTGTCAAAAACGGCATTTATAATGTGAATTTTGAAATAAAATGTACCGGTTTTGAAAGCTTATCAGAAGTAGCAAAGCAAAAATGATCATATGATGCTGCTAAAAAGAACATTATGTTGTGTATTTGGTGTAATGCAATGTGTTTATGCAGTTTAAGGTTCATAAAAACACATTATTTTCTCCTCTATGCCCCGCCTTTCTGAAACGCTTTAATTTTTACAAAGCTCATTGGTCTGAAAAAGCGAGGTGTGCTCTGATTGGCCAGCTATCCAGTGCGTTGTGATTGGCCGAATGCCTCAAGCGTGTGACGGAAATGTTACACCTCTCGGAGAAACAACAAGCCTGCTCAAAACTCTCGTTTGAATCATCATTGGCAAAATGTACTTACAGGCTGTGAGTCAGAAGCGCCAGACTGTCCTTGCAAAGTTGGAACTGCCCAACTTTATAGAAACAGCTTTTGTGCCACAGACACATTGTAGGCTACAGGTTCAGGAACCAGTCCTTGTCCTCCATAAAATGCGCTGCACACATCTGAATATTTGGGTTGAAGTGTTCTGGAACAGTGTTGTAAATACAACTTAACCACTGATTTCTAGCCATGTCCTCTTTTTGCTTTCACAACGAAACACACAGTGCCTTCGCGACATGGCGGCGGCAACAACAATACTACAGAATACAATATAAAGATTTTATAAAGATTTAAAAATTTTAATTATTTTTATATAGTGCCACACCTAGTGGATATCTTGACCTGGAAAAGTTAAAGAAATTTATTAAATCTTAAAAAGTAATAAACATTTAAATATTTTTAATTTACATCAGGTACAAATAGCTAGGAAATTGCTATTAATCAGTAATCAGTAAAATAAATAAACAAACAAACAAACATATATTTATTCTGGAAATACGAAGTTAATTATTTTAACTATTTTAATAAATTAAATTGTCTTACTTTAAGTATTTTATTTAATTGTTTTTATTAGTGCTGTCAAACGATTAAACGCAATTAAACAAAAACAAATAAAAGTTTTTGTTTACATAATATATGTGTGTGTGTACTGTGTATATTTATTATGTATATATAAATACACATACACATGTGTCCCAGATCCCCTGTATATATTTAAGAAAAATATGTTTTGTTTATATATAAATATTTATATTTATATATATATAATATGTATATATACAGTATATATATACATGTAAATATTTTTAAATTATATACATGTATGTTTGTGTATTTATATATACATAATAAATATACACAGTACACACACATTATGTAAACAAACATTTTTTTTGGATGCGATTAATTGCGATTAATCGTTTGACAGCACTAATTTTTATATGTTATCAGTTTATATACATTTATATATATTGTCTGTAAATAAGTTGTTTTGGACAACTGGGGGCCTCAGAGTCAAAAAGACGTTGCTATGAATTGAATTTCTCATATGTAGATACCATCTGACTGTTCAATCAAAAGCAGCTCATAACATAAACACACTGAATCAAATTACTTTGAGAGGCTCCCAGATCCCCTGGCCGAGCACCAGCTATGTTTCTGTGGAAAAGTGATACCAGGTATAGTCCTGGACCATCATTTTGTTATGCAAGATCCACAATAACTTACTTTAGTGCAGAATACTGCATGCAGCTATGGAGCTGAATGATTTCGTATTGTATTGTCTTGCTGTCGCTGCCATTTACCCACTGTACTTTCTAAACATCTGAACGAGCTATGAGAAGAACAATATGTCCAAGTGTTTGAACATCACAAATGGGATGCACAAACAACCAGCATGTTGAAATTAGAGCCTTGAATTTAGATTAGATTACATAAGAGTGCAGCGGCAGTAAAGGTTAACAGCGCTGTTAATTGCTTATGCGTCCCGTTTCTAACACGCTGTAAAATCAGAAGCAAAGAGAGTGAGTGAAAATGAAATAAGTGCAGTGAGCGAGACACCTGATGCTCTCAAACATACCAACAGCTAAGTAGGCACCTGCTGGGCAGCGAACATGTTATCCTTTACTGCAAAGGAATCACATCATTTGGCCCCTGTCTCCCTGACACTCATCTTCTCCCCATCAGCTGGCCTCTGGCCCAACAGCTGATGGACAGCCATGTGCAGCCCCTGCATATCATGTTGGATCCTGAGAGCTGCCCAGCGTGGTACTCGACCAGACTAACTGGAGTCAAGCAGAGTATTTTTCAAAGCTGTGTATTTATAGACCTGGAGCTGGGGGTGGGGCTTAGGGACCGCGGTCTATAATTATTCCAGAGGTAAATACATACGGTGATCCCTCAGAGTGTTAACAAATTAATAAAAACTGGAAAAGCCACTAAAATGCGACGTGCATGCAACTGGTTTAGCCACAATGTATTTTTAAAGCGCATGTCTATAAGCCTTACCATCTAAATGGAAAAGATCCCAGAGGTAAATATACAGTGATCACTCAAACTGATAATAAATTAATAAAAACCGAAAAAGCCTCTAAAATGTGACATGCATGCATGCAACTAACTTATCTACTCCACATTTTTAAAGCGCTTTTTTATAAGCCAACCTGCCTAAATAGAAATGATCCCTAAGGTAAATACATACAGTGATCACTCAGAGGTTGTAAAAAAATATAAATAAAAAAAGCCTCTAAAATGCGACATGCATGTAACTGGTTTAGCTACAATGCATTTTTAAAATGCTTGTCCATAAGCCAACCTGCCTAAAGGGATTTTTGCATATATATCTCAGTTTATTTATGAGTAACACACAAATATAAATTATAGACTGTAATTAATTTGCTAAAATTAATTACATGCTAAAATTATGTATATCTGCATATCTTTAAACTTTAAAACTAACTTATCTACTCTACATTTTTAAAGCGCTTGTTTATAAGCCAACCTGCCTAAATAGAAATGATCCCTAAGGTAAATACATACAGTGATCACTCAGAGGTTGTAAAAAAATATAAATAAAAAAAGCCTCTAAAATGCGACATGCATGTAACTGGTTTAGCTACAATGCATTTTTAAAATGCTTGTCCATAAGCCAACCTGCCTAAAGGGATTTTTGCATATATATCTCAGTGTATTTATGAGTAACACACAAATATAAATTATAGACTGTAATTAATTTGGGCATTTCATAATCCCAAACCCATGCTAAAATTATGTATATCTGCATATCTTTAAACTTTAAAAGGAAAGCTTTGCATGCAGGAACAATGGAAGACAACTTCCTGAATAGTTATGATGCATATTTGCTCAGTCATTGCAAAATTTTCAAACACCTCAACTATTCAGAGACAAGGAAGCTATCATTGCAAATTACCTCTTCATGGGAAACATACTCTACAAATAAAGCATACACTCTACAAATAAATTTGAATGCAATTTTAGGGCGAAACATTATTTACACTCACTGACTTTAAATTTGCATGCTTAAAAGTGCAAGATAAAACCGAGTTAATGAACATGTACATTCTCATTTTCACTTGCTAATAGATGGAAAGGCTTACGGTGGCATTCCTCTCCGTGCAGGTTGCAACATGATCCGTTTTGTTGTTTATGCTGTTGTCCTGCAGGGTGTTTGATTTTCTTGCACCTGTGCCGTGAGATACATGGATGTGTACATGCGAAGTGCCGTTTTTGGAGTGCACATCTGCAGCATTTGAAACGTGACAAGAAATCTCAGCGTTCGCACAGGGTACCTCCAAAGAAATACTCCTGTGAAGGACATGATGCAACCCTTTTCTTGAGGACTTATCCGAATTACCGCAAGTCGGAAAAGTGTTGTGTCTTCTTTCCGTCGACGACGGCCTTCCGCTTGGCAGCATGCAGGCTGAGGTGCTCCGGAAAAGCTTAGCTTTCTGGGGCTCTGCGACGTTGTCGGTTTGTGGGCCCTCGAGAGGTTTGGAACAGTCGATGTTAACCTTTGTTTTGGCCAAACTTCCTTTCCCTGAGGGAAGCGGTCGCTGGTTTGCGAAGTGCAATAAAACTCTGGAGTGTCTTTCCGTTCGCTCTGGTCCTGGTGGTTGTTCCGGCGGCACGCTGAAATGCACAATGGGTTTGGCGTCCCTGTGTTCTGCTGACGTACTGGTTTTGGACAGCCGCAGACCATTAACTGCCGTGGCGACGGATCCCTTGGCCATGTCATCGTGCAACGCATCAACGCTGGACAGCTGCATCTGATGAGAGGTCTGAAAGGAACTTCGTGCAGATGGAGGCAGCGGAGGAATCATTGGAGACACTGTCGGACTGACGGGAGATGCGGGTGGTGTGGTGCATGGGCTCCGCGGGAAAATCACCAAGGACGAGCAGCGCCGCAAGGGTGCCCTCGCCTTCCGCCGAGAGATTGGTTTGCGATCTGGGACGTCCGCTTCGAATATGCTGTTGCTGCTGCAGTAACCGGCATCACTCGTGGTGCTGCTGCTACATGAACCTCCATCCCCGTTTCCACTCTCACAGCTGGCGAGCTCACCGTCTCCTCCGCAAGGCTGCAAGGAGATCTGCAGCATGCTTTTCCTGCTCCCATTCACCTTAGGGATGAATACAGTGGAGTGCCGCTGTAAGTTACCGTACTCTGGTGACAAGGGTGGCAAAGCTAGAGCCAGCTGTCCTGGAGTCACTTTCATGTGGAGAGAACTCTGCATCAGGCCCTCACTGGAGCTACGGCCGGCATTCGTGAGCCCGCTATCCTCGGCGTGACCGCTGCAAGTCTCTGACAGCGGGTCGGTGTTGCTTCTCCGCGAAGCAAAATGCAGTCGCAGTTGTCGCGCCATGAATTCAAGCTTCCCAGGGATCCAGTGGGACGCAGGACATGGCAAACCCAAAACAAACAAGTGAAAAACGAGCAGCAAAAAGCAACTGCTCCTGCTCCCGTTCTGTGATTCCAACCATTAGCGGTTGCACATTGCAAAAATAGCAGCAGTGACACGTGGCATTCCTCCCGAAGCTCCTCTGAAGCTAACACCATGAAGAACAGCTCTAGTCCTCGGAAGGATAATGGCGAATTCAGAGAGCTTTACTGACGCAACTGCTCCAGACACCCTGCAAAGGGCTCTACTGTGCCAGACCTCTGGAGTGCCTCAGCTGTGCCTTCTGTAGTTTTGCAAGCGCCGATTCAGGCACTGGTGCCCACCCTCCCCCAGCTGCCGGTCACCCCAGAGCAAAAAACAACAATCTGCGTGCATGCCAGGATGGAGGTGGAACAGCTCGCCCCTGTTCTAGCCAACCTCGACTCTGCAACCTCCTTCTACAGCAGTGGCAGCCCCGTCTCTAAAGTTTCTTATAAAGCTGCACCCCTGCTAATATTTTTACCCCAACAGGATAGAGTTACAGGAAATAAAGAGGAACAAGGTTTGGCAACATTTAAAGCTTTCTCAACAGCATCCACGTACAGTACTTTGGAGATGCATGGGGAACAGGGTGTTACGAATTGAGCATTTGGCTTATTTCTGTACTTCTAACCATGCACGGCTTAAATGCATGATAGCTTCATCTACAAATTTGAAATCAGCAGACGGAATCAAGCCTGTTTGTGCCAAAAGAGTGCCTCCAAATCGAATCTTGAGCTTGTTGTGCCAGCTCACATATGGACATGTGCCACATCACGTGTCATCTGACACCCGCTGTTGCAGTCATTTAAGACCATGCTTCTGTCAAAGAGAAATGCCATCTCATCAATCAGGAGCAATTGCAGTTACCACAGTGCACAGAACCAGTACAGGAAATCATCCTGCTTACATGAATAAAAATTAAATATAAATCAGCCTGAATCAGGGATTTTTGCATTTTGTGCACTTGGAAATGAACAAAGTGTTAGGATTCTGGAATTCTAAAAAAAAAAAAAAGAATGGGGTAATTGCATGTATTTCAAATCGTAATGAAATATAAGAGAGACTGAATCAGGGATTTCTGCATTTCGTGCACTTGGAAATGATCAAAGTTTTAGGATTTTGCAAGTCTAAATCAAAGAATGGGGTAATTGCACGCATTTCAAATCGCAATGCAATATAAGTGAGACTGAATCAGGGATTTCTGCATTTTGTGTGCCTGGAAATAAAGTTTTAGGATTTTAGAATTCTAAAACAAAGACTAGGTTAATTGCATGCATTTCAAATGAAAATGAAGTGAGATTGATCACAGAAGAAACATTATCTACTGGCACAAACCTAGAAATATTTTGCACAAAAAGAGATCTGAAAGGATTTGTCATCCTTTCTGTAAGCTATCACATTCCTCAGGAGACACAAATAGCGTGCATGCTTGGTTCATGCCAGCGAACACATTCTAGCAATGACATACAAGTTTTTCTTACAACAAAACTGATTATTTTCTGTACCCACTGTATATACACAACTCTCCTGCTCAGTGATGCACGTTACTAAAAAAATTGATTTTTACATTTTCTGAAGACGAATTTAGTGGTGTAAAACTCGTCACTGTGATGCAAGGTTGCACGGGTGTTGCTGTGGTTCCTAATGTAGTCTTTGTAAGCACTGCATGTACTTTGACTGAAGCATTATCATCAGCTTTGTTTTTTGGCTGTTCACAGAAACATTACTCCATTATGGTCCATTATTAATATAAAATGCAAAAAATGGTTTTATAAAACACTTGAACTTTTAAACAGGCTCTCAATGCTGAAATATGAGCAGCCCGTATTGTATAATGTTTTCTGTTATTACCAAACACAATGACTGCATCTGTTTAATATTAGTTCAGAAGAGCACAGTATTGGAATCACACACAGTATCTAAATGTGAGAATGATGAACAGAGAGTTCAGCAAAGTAGGAAACGACTACAAACAAAACGTGTGTATATAAGATCCCATGGTACAGAAAAATTTGTTTTTACAATGAACAAATGTCTGGGTCACATTCCCAAAATGAAAAAAAAATATATATATATATATATATATATATATATATATTTTCACAAAAAAAAAAAGAAGCTTAATGTAAGGCTCATTAAAATAGATTAATTATTTTTACTACATTTAAGCTATTAATTATAATTAAGTATTATTATTAATTATAATTATATTAAGCTATAAATATTATATATATATATATTTTTTTTACATATTTCTGCGTAGACAAAATTTTGTTTTTTTGTAATTAAAATCAGCATAAAGGTAGTATGATGATACAAATGTAGTTTATCATTTTAATAATACATTATTATCTTTTTTTATTTAACTAAATGTCTGAAACTTTACATTATGGGCACTTCTCATGTTTATTTGCCTCTTGATAACGAATTGCTTGTTGTATTCCTCATTTGTAAATCGCTTTGGATAAAAGCGTCTGCTAAATTATTATACATTTTTTATTTTTTTTGCCAGCCAAACCCCTAAAATATTTACTTAAAAGTCTCCCTGAGGTAACATTTCAATAATTTAACAACACATTTGCATGTTCACGGTTCTTTGATGTCAATTAATGGTTACAAGACATACAGGTAAACAACGTTTTCCCATCTTTTTTAGTCATTTATTTATTATTATTTTAAAATAATATATTTATTTGAATATTACATTTTTGTGATTTAATGAATTATTAGCGTTTCATCAACTCTCAAACCCCAGTTTCAGAAATTCTGTCTAAGGCTACTGAAATAATTTTTTCATTTTCCTTTTGAGGTGACATTTCTTGACAGCTTTTATTAGATTCACAAAGATGCTCCAACCAGCTGACAGAAGCATGATCTCCATAAATACCCGTTCACTTACCCTAAAGAAGAATTCCTCATTCCACTTCGGATCCAATGTCTAAAAGAAAGACAGAGAAATGTTCAACACTCTTGACAAAACGACAAATCCTGCAGTAGAGAGTCTGTACACACACCTTTTTGATGGTTTTGGTCTGTAGACCGGTGATTTCTCCATTGACGGGGTCATAGAGAGAGATTCTTGTGTACGGATCACTGCGGATGAAAGGAAAACAAACTAATATTACACAAGTACACATGGAAAAAAAGATTGGCTGTCTTTGAGTCATACAGGAAGTGTTACTAAATATTTTAGCAGTCATGTGATTATGGATCTCAATACACACCATAACAAGTATTCATCCCTATCTAGCAAATCCATTCACCAACTTAAACTACATGCAACATCAGGAGGAAGCAGCGCACAATCCCTCAACTGTTTTCACTGAATATCTGGCCTTTTTCCCGAGCAAGTATTACAGTGAAGGAGAGATGATATCGCTCAGCACAAATATTGATTGCATACCTAGAGCTGTGTTATTTAGGTCAAAGTGAGCACGGCTGATCGGTTCGTACCCTCAAGGACGGCTGCTAACACTGCCATCTACTGTTTCCATCAGCCTACGGTTCACTGCAGACTATGCATAAAAATAACATTAACTCTTTAGCATGTGGCTGCTTGTAAATACAATTTCTTGGCAAAATACTGCACTTGCATTGTATTATATATATCTATCTATATATAACCCAATGCATTTATAATACAATGCATTGTATATTAATGCATTGTATTGTAAGAAAAACCAGATCAAATAAATGGTAAATAAATAACTACTAAAACAAACATTATTATAATCATTAACAGTCAAAATGAAAAAGCAACTGCAATCCATTTTATTTCTGTAATGTAAAACAGAATATTCAACAAGAAAGAAAAAAAGTAGGGCAGGACATGATTTTCTTCATCGGGAAAAGACTGATGATGAAAGTGGGCTTTCCACAGAAAAATGAAGCAAGAGCTGAATGTGACTGAACAAGCAAGCACAATAAGACCAGAAATGTGCATTAAGAAAGCAAATATAATCAATTTGGATTTCATGCTGACTTCATTATTGGTTTTCTCCCCTTGTTGTTATTTTTCAAAGAAGATCCAGCTAAAACGGAGGAGTAATAAACATCACGATGAAGCTCGTGAATCCACAGGAATGCTGAAATGTCATTATTAGGCTGTAAAAAACTATTATTATTTTCACAGCATCTTTTTTGGGAACAGATAAAAGCCTGTATGAGTGTCAGATTGTCCAAACGGAAGCTCCATTATGCGGGATACAAACGATTTTGTGTTTTCATAACAAACTGATGGCACGTGAAGATGTGAACGTGAAGATCCTGCTGGACTCAGCCATGCGAAATGTACTTAAAATGTGCTGTACACTATCTGACTTCATGTGATCCACCCAAAATGTGACACTGACTGAGTGTTGAGTGAAATCATGGGAAAAACCTTGTCTACTACTGTTTATGACAAGTGAACTAAGCATTTAACACTTTAACCGCCAGGGGTCATTTTATACCTAAAACCGCCAGAGGGTAAAATTTACCCATGCACATGACTACTGTTTTGATATGGCTTAAAAAACGTATTATGTCACTGTATTATGCCACTGTCTTCACAAAGTAATGTCTAGAGTCATGAAATGATTATTTTTAGTCATCAGCTATGATTTTGTCCTGTTGTTTTATGTTCAAGGCTATTTTAAGCAGGCTACAACTCATCACTTTTCTTAACGGTGAATATAGGCTAAACCAGCCTGCAATGACAGCGAGAATTAGAAGGAAATAAATACATATTTGGGTGGTGAAATATTATAATAAAATGCTGTTAAGATACACATATTAAGATAACCCGTGTTATTTAAATTACTAAAATACAGTAAATAGACAATTGTGAGCAATAATAATTCACAAGATCGGAATTACTTATTTTATTTTTTTCAGGAAACGGGCAGACTAGAATAAATAGCAACATAGTAGCAAACGATAAACAATAAAAATTGCTAAACAAAAATGAATAATTAATACAAAGTTCATTTTAGCCTGCTCATAAATGTTCAAACTTTGGATTAATTATTCGTTTTTGTTCATTTATTATTCGCTAATCGCTACTGTGTTGCTATGAATTCTAGTCTGCCCGATTCCTAGAAAAAAATATATATAATCAAATAAATAAATAAATATATATATATATATATACACACACTATATACACACATCCTATGCTGTGCCGTGAATTATTATTGCTCATATATTGTCTATTGAACATAAAACAACAGGACAAAAAAATTAAAAATTTACCCCGTGCCGGTTCTAGTGTTAAAGAAAATATGAACACTAATTCAAGAAGAAAAGGGACCATAATTAGTTGTCAACGGCTGGTATTTAAAGAGCAAGGTGTGCCAATATAAGGCAATAAACACGAACATTTTACACAATATTTATATTTTGAAAAGGTAGTTTGTATATTAGGAACGGGCAGCATTATCGCCTCAGATGCTCAAGTATTGGCCGTTTAATCAGCCTGGCCATTATATCGGTTGTCGTTTATGTTATAGTGTCATTCTCATGGTGCAATATCTGCAATACTGACCTGGCACCCAAAATGTCCTTCTTAGCCAAACCAATTCCACCAATGACTTTCACCCTTAAGATTCTGGATTCATCCTGAAGGAGAGCAAAATTATTCCATAAGCAACACAAAGAATTAAACAGCCTGTAGATGTACGATTAAAACCGAATTGAAATGGCTTGAGGACTGCAGAGGAGTTCCTACTGAAACAGGGAGTCAATGCGGTGTGCTCTGACCCATAAGTGGGAGGGGCATCCTTATTTCAGAGAGCATTTGATTGGCCAAAATGTGCATTAATGCAAGATGATGTAATCAATATTTGTGGTATATTTTCCTGGAAGAAATGTCAAATTGCCCATCTTATTTCTTCCAGGAAATTAGACCTAAATATTGACTACATCATCTCGCACTAATACACATTTTGGCCAATCGACTCTAAGTTTATTTAGTACGCATTAACTCTTACTAAATGTCTTTAAGACATGTTTATTGATTATATCCCAAAATGTGTGTCGAACATGATAGCAACACACCCAGAAGAGCTACAAACAACAAATATATTGAAATTATCTACGCCACATGTGATCAACAACGATGTGACGTCATGTGGTATATGGCGTCATATACAGTACAGCAGGTGTTGCGCAATACTTCACTTGAGTCACGAGACAACAATGGCAATACAAGAAATTGATTTTTATCACCTAAACAAACACATCCTTTCTTAATCGCAAGCAAACATGGTTATGGGGTCAGTTATATGTGCAATAAATTGATGATTACAGTTATCATAAAACAAAGTGGAGCAGAACTTCCTACTATTAACCCAATCTCACACAAGCTGTAGACTGCCAGCCAACTGTTGTTTATGCAATTTCACAGAATTGCTATGACTGATATGACACATCACATGATATGTCTAATTCGTTCACCTCATCCGTCTGAAGTCCTCGAACCTCCGGGAGGAGCGCGGCCATGTTCATGTTCCGTGCCAGGATGCCAGGATGCCAGGATGCCAACCTGCGTCGATATGAACGACCGAAAGATACAAATAAATCCGTCAAAGAGCAGGCTTTGAAAACGCTTCCCCGGGATATGACACGAGCGGAGAGGCGTTAGCTCGTCAAATGCATCGTGGAAACTGAAACTACGGCGATGGACATCCTCACGTCCACCTCCTCGACACGCCCCCACGGCGTCGCCCACGCCCACTTTGTCCCAGACCACGCCCACTGATGTATATATAACAGCTCGTTGACCACGCCCCTTTACTAAACATTCTAATAACAAACAGGCATTGTCATCATTCCATTGTTAAACACATTAACAATTAATACAAGCAGCATATCATAAACACAAGTAAAAAATATAAATAAAAAAAGGTTTAAATAATAACAAAACATGTAAAGCAAATTATAAGACAAATTAAATTACATTTCAGGGGAGGGGGGTCAATCCAAGTATGTAGCCAGAAGTTTAGAGAATTTTATGGCGCTCTTCGTATTTTAATAGTTTTATGGATTAAAATAAAATTCTAAAATCATTTTTAAAAGCCTCAAAACAAGGAGAAACTTTCACAAATCTACAGGTAGCCTATGTATATAAAACTTGGCTACAATCAACATATTATTGCACAGAAATTCAATCTCTTTGTTTTGCATGAAGACCCCAAACTGAACCCCTTGTCTGAAGCTGATCCTTCAAACACAGACAGAACGGTGAGGCTTTTTTTCTGTGGCATTTTTTATCGATTTGCTGACGTAAACATGATCTCTTTTTCTTTAAATCTACATTTTAAATCAGTTCATCTTTTTAAATCAGTCGTGTTGAATGTTTATTATGATTATTACCATTCATGGAACTTGCAATACTGTATGTGGAACAATAAAATGTCCAAATATAGAGGCCTAGTCATGATTTTCTTCCCAAGCTAATTTGTAATATAAATCTTATCCTCCTGGGACCCAGGCGTAGACTTCTGTCCTCTGTAGAGGACATCATCTTTTAGTGAATTTCTCTGAGACCCTACATGTCACAGTCTGGTTCAGAGCACATTCAGAGATACTTTGTAATCATCATTTAAATGTGACTCATTTTCAAATTGTTTCTCGTAAAAAAAATAAAATAATAGTAATAATCTCAGAAAAACGACTTTTTGTTATGAAACAGGGCATAATTTTCATACTTCTGAGGAAACCAGGATAAATGGCTGTTAATCATAATCTTCGGGAAACACAACAAGTCAATAGGAAAGAAATTATAGATCAATATTCCTATTAAATATGCGATATTCTTATGAAAATGTTGCCAGGTTATTACTCCTATTATAACACTTCATTTTTCATTATGGTTTGCCCCAAGAACACATTAATATGCAAATTATGCAATGTACAGATATATTGTATAGAATGGGAATACCAGTTTATGGACATTTTACGCACATATTGCAATGCATAAAGTAAAATATTATATCAAATCTTTCTGTTATATCTTTAATAACAATCATATTTGTAGAAAGTTTGGTTAAAAATAGCCTGAAACCTAAAAACTGATTGGTGAATGAAAAAAATAAAGCATTGTTTATGCCTAAAAATATATATATTTTTTTTTAAAGATATGAAAAGGCATGTAGCCTTTTCATATCTTTTTTTTTTTTTTTTTTTGAATAACTTAGTCTTGGCGTCCTCTACAAAGAATACAATATGAATAAAATGTTTTTTCTCCATTTGTTTCTCCACCTAATGTAATGGCATAAAAAACATCAAAATTCACAAAACTTTTTTTATGCTTCTCAGGAGGATATAATACTTGTGTTGTAAAGTATTCCTGTATTAGCATACGTTGTTTCATTCTAAAGATCAACAGACAGATAGATAGATAGATAGATAGATAGATAGATAGATAGATAGATAGATAGATAGATAGATAGATAGATAGATAGATAGATAGATAGATAGATAGATAGATAGATAGATAGATAGATAGATAGATAGATAGACAAGCTATTGAAAACAGTCTAGAATAATAGAATAGAATAGAATTCATTATATTTTATTGATGGGAAATGTTGTGTGCATTACCAAAGGAACACCATCATAAACCACAGGGTAGAAAGCTATCTATCTATCTTTACTGTTATCTCTTCCAATCGAGGAGTTCATTTTCAGCCAATCACAGCGAGGCCCAGCTGACTCTTATCCAATGAAAACGCTTGACTTCATCGTCCCGCCCCGTTATTTATTTCCAGAATCTGCATGCACATCAAACATCATTTGTTTGTAGCATAGTCTAATCATAATCATTCATTTCACCCTGCAGATTCCACTCTCCCTGCTTCTCTAACACAATGGAAGTCAACAGAAGAGGCAGAACCTTCCTCATAACCGGTGGAGGAGGTTATTTTGGATTCCGGTGAGATCTAATGACAATTTACAATCTTTCAGTGTTCATTTCTTAGTATTTTCCACCAGTCACAGCACCCACACAAACCACTAGATGGCGCTACATGCTATATTATAGAACAGCAATCCTTCAGCTCAAATGAGTTCAGTGATGATACAATTTAGTTCAATAGTGTGAATGTTGCAGAGTTCATTAGTTGTGAAGCAAACTCCTTTAAAAACTATAAAGCAGCTCTATAGAAGATACTGTTTTTCTCAGTCGCTTTGCAACACATTTTTTTTTATAATTTTAAAAAATGTTATATACAGTGGGGTCCAAAAGTCTGAGTTGACAATTACTTGAATTTTAGAAATATTGCATGAAACTATATATTTATTTCATTTTACATCTTTTTTTTTATTATACTAAATTTTACATCATTTTTTCAGTATACTAAAACTTACACTTTTTTTTACATTTCCCCCGCTGTATAATTAAAGGAATAGTTCACCCAAAAAAGAAAATTTGCTCAAATTTACTCACCATCCAAAATGTAGGTGAGTTTGTTTCTTCATCAGAACAGATTTGGAGAAATGTTGCTTCACATCACTTGCTCAGCAATGGATGCTCTACAGTGAATGGGTGCCGTCAGAATGAGAGTCCAAACAGCTGATAAAAACATCGCAATAATCCACAAGTAATCCACACCATTCCAGTCCAGCAGTTAACATCTTCAGAAATGAAAAGCTGCGTGTTTGTAAGAAATAAATCCATCATGAAGACGTTTTTAACTCATTGCTTCCAGCTAAAATGTGAGTCCATAATAACGCTTCCTCCAGTGATACAGTTGCCTGGTCTGAATCAGGAGAGAAATCTGCACAGATCAAGCCAAAAGAGTCCAAAACAGCTCTAAACAAATATGTGGCTTGATTCTGATGTGAGAGACAACAGGAGATGGACTTTTTCACTGGCGGAAGCGTTATTATGGGTTATGGCCAGAAGTGATGGTTTAAAATGTCTTGATGGATTTGTTTCTTACAAACACGCAGCTTTTGTCTTCTCCAGATGTGAGCTGATGGACTGGAGTGGTGTGGATTACTGTGATGTTTTTATCAGCTGTTTGGACTCTCCTTCTGATGGCACCCATTCACTGCAGAGCAAGTGATGCAATTCTACATTTCTCCAAATCTGATACAGAAACAAACTCATCTACATAACCTGAGGGCATTTAAATTTTTGGGTGAACTATTACTTTAAAGCTTTATTGTGATTTCTCTTTCAGTCTTGCCTGTGCTCTCCTTAAAACCTCCTCGAACGTTGTGCTGTTTGATGTGAGACCACCAAGCCAAGAGTTGCCCGAGGGTATCGTATTCATGCGGGCAGATATCCGTGACTACACACAGGTGGAAGAAGCGGTTCGGGGTGTGAACTGCGCGTTCCACATCGCCTCCTATGGGATGTCGGGACAGGAGCAGCTCAATCGAAAACTCATCGAAGAAGTGAACGTACAGGGAACAGAGAACATCCTCAGGGCTTGTGTGGCACACAGAGTCCCTCGTTTGGTCTACGCGAGCACGTATAACGTAGTGTTTGGTGGTCAGGAGATTAAGGACGGTGATGAAAGTCTTCCTTACTTGCCCCTGCACCCTGATCACTACCCCAGGACTAAGTCTATAGCCGAGATGCAGGTGTTAAAAGCAAACGGTTCGCCTCTGAATAACAGTGTAGGTGTGCTACAGACTTGCGCCCTTCGTCCAGCCGGTATACAGTGGGTACGGAAAGTATTCAGACCCCCTTAAATTTTTCACTCTTTGCCTGGTTTTCTCCACACATACCGCTTAGAATTAAGGCCAAAATGTTCTATCTTGGTCTCATCAGACCAGAGAATCTTATTTCTCACCATCTTGGAGTCCTCCATGCGGGCTTTCATGTGTCTTGCACTGAGGAGAGGCTTCCGTCGGGCCACTCTGCCATAAAGCCCCGACTGGTGGAGGGCTGCAGTGATGGTTGACTTTCTACAACTTTCTCCCATCTCCCGACTGCATCTTGATTCTCATTTGCTCTGACATGCACTGTGAGCTGTAAGGTCTTATATAGACAGGTGTGTGGCTTTCCTAATCAAGTCCAATCAGTATAATCAAACACAGCTGGACTCAAATGAAGGTGTAGAACCATCTCAAGGATGATCAGAAGAAACGGACAGCACCTGAGTTAAATATATGAGTGTCACAGCAAAGGGTCTGAATACTTAGGACCATGTGATATGTCAGTTTTTCTTTTTGAATAAATCTGCAAAAATGTCAACAATTCTGTGTTTTTCTGTCAATATGGGGTGCTGTGTGTACATTAATGAGGAAAAAAAATTACTTAAATGATTTTAGCAAATGGCTGCAATATAACAAAGAGTGAAAAATTTAAGGGGGTCTGAATACTTTCCGTACCCACTGTATATGGCCCCCGGGGAGGAAAGGCACTTGCCTAGGATAGTTAGTTACATTGAGAACGGGATCTTTAGGTTTGTTTACGGGGAACCTGATAGTCTGGTGGAGTTTGTTCATGTGGATAATCTAGTGTCTGCACACATGTTAGCTGCCGAGGCTTTAACTGAAAAGCGTCAGCATCGTGCCACCAGTCAGCCCTATTTTATCTCCGACGGAAGGCCTGTTAACAACTTTGAGTTTTTTAGGCCTCTGGTGGAGGGTCTGGGATACTCGTTCCCCACGCTTCGACGGCCCATATCGCTTATTTACCTCTTTGCCTTTCTGACCGAGATGGTTCATCATATCGTGGGGCGGATTTATAACTTCCAACCCCTGCTGACCCATACTGAGGTCTACAAGACGGGCGTCACACACTATTTCAGTATGCGTAAGGCACGAGAAGAGCTAGGATATGAGCCTAAACTATGTGACCTTGAAGATGTTGTGCAATGGTTTCGAGGCAGAGGTCATGGGAAGAAACACAGCCAGTCATCAATTAAGAAACTAATTTTAGATGTTGCTTTGGTGGTTGTATTTGCAGCAGTGGTGCTCTCCTGCCTTCCGGTTGTGGGACAGTGAAATGTGCAATGACTTTCATTTCTGTTACTTATGTAAGGTTTATACTGACCTGATTTGTTAATTTTTAAAACATATATTCATATTAATGCACATGAGGGCTGTTATATTGTAAAATGTCGTAAAGAGGCACAAATAGGCTGTTCATTTTTTCATTTTATTCCCACTCCTTGAAGGGCAGTGTCCTCAGAGTTCAGGGTAAACATATTTTGTGGATTTTAAACAATATTAAAACACTTTCAGAAAAAAAAGAATAAAATTATGCCTTTATTTTGGTAAAAACAAATGGTTAACCAGCAAGACTGTGTTTGCTATATGTGATATGTGATTTTTTTTTTCGGTTCAAATTTAAAAAAAAAAATATTTTTTTAAATTACAGGAATTTCAAAATGTGTTTAGTCTTTTGCTTGTTTACTTACATTTGATTAGTCACATAGAAATAGTGCACAATCTGAAATATTTGTATTTTTTATGCCATATCTTTGCTTTAAATTGCGTTTATGTGTTTTGGTATTCAAAGGAACACTGCATACGTTTTATGAATTCATGCATTCCCTGAGAATCAAACCCATGACCTTGTCATTCCTAGTGCCATGCTGGACTGTTTGCGCTATCCTGAAACACCAAATTCCTGAAATGTTCTGTTTATTTCTATGGGCATGTGAAAAACTATCCCAGATTTTCAGTGTAGTGTGTGTATATATGATTTTGTGTTTTAAAAAGTTATGTAAAAGGTATGAATATCATTGTACAGACAAAATATAAAAACAAGTTCCTAAAAAAAGTAATTCCTCGGGTGCAGCTCCTTGCATGAACTATCAACACGTTCCGCTAACAACAATCGCATAGTCATACAATACGGTCTATTGTTTTAGCAATTCAAACTTTATTCTGTCAAACATTTCACTTGAAAAGTGCGCTTAAACTATATTTGCAAAAAATGACTCTTGCTCTGATATTTTGCTATCTGATATTTTAAATGTGACTGAAGTGTCAAAATACACTGTATGGTGACGGAAATGTAAGTTAGTGACAATAGCCTTGGTCACTGATGCACAATGAGATGTTTGGGATCTGCCCTTCCCCCAGATTCAACAAACCTTCACTGGCCTGCTGTACATCGTGCATGAAAGTACTGGTGTTTTTGAAGCATGAGTTACCTGTGAAACACAAGACAGGTAGATCTAACAAACAGCCTTGGACAAGAGTATTTATTAGTACTAATTGTACTCCCAAGAATACAGTTGCATAGAAAGTTGCTTGTTGTTGTTTAAAGTTTTTCCGTTTAGTTTTTAATTATTTTCTGTGGGCTGGTCTGTGTGGTTAAATCTTTAATCTGTCCCGCTGCATGAAAGTGGACACACATAGACTCTCCAAAGGGCTTTTTTTCAGGATTCTGCTCCCCCTTGCTGAGTTGCTCTCTATCATTGTTTCGCTCCGGCATTAACCACATTCCAGAGCGCCGCAGCGCAGCCCGTCTCCCTCCGCGCATTCCTCTCACGCAAACGAGTCCCGAATGAATCGTTTGATGCACGCGTACTCGTCCGTCTCCGCGCTCAGCATCTCTGCTGATAATTGCGGGATCATCGGGGGAGAATTATAGGCGAGTTGGATTCGCTGGAAACGAGTTTGCAGGAACAATCACGGAAAATCAAAGCGAGAAAATTCCTCCGCGCAGCGCGCCATTGACTGTAAAGACCTTTCAACTTTACAAAAACTGAAATTGACAAACGCTCTCTTGTGTGGAAACTTTGTCACGACGACCGTATCGCCACAAATCGACAGGCGGGGAGCATGCATCGCGACGGAATGACGGAGAAGGACTAAGTAAGCGCGAACAGGCAACGATGGTTCGCCTGAGGCGACATTTTTCCGTGTAAAATGCAGTTTGTGTTGTAGTTGACTAGCGCGCCGCGCACTCGCCCGTTCAGCGTCCCTCAACTCGCCCGCGCGTCATGGATGAATATGAGGATCCGGGGCGCAGAGCGAGCAAACTGATGGAAAACCTCTCCATTTATGACGTTTATCAGGACGGGATATACGGGGAGCCGAACCCCGACATGGAGAAAACTAAACGAATGAATGGCAGCTCCTCCACGCCCGGGAACAAAGTCTACGGCGCGGCTTCCGTGCGCTCCGTCAACGGGAACCGACCCTCAGTGCCTCTGGATTTCTGTTCTCCGCAAAGGGAAGCGGTCTATCCCGATCCCGACGCGTACTGCACCAAATCTGAAGTTGCCTTGCCGTGTTACAGCGGCGCGTCGGAGCGTCTCAGGAGATACACGCACGCAGAGGTGCAGGCGCACCGGTACAGCGCCGGATGCGCCTACGACGGGCTCATTCTGGGGAAACAGGTGCCCGTTCCTGGTGCGAGGAGCAACAGCTTATGCGTGGCCAATCCTGATGGCAGGTACCCGGCCACGAGCCCCCGGTCCAGTCTGGCTTCGTCCCACTCATCGCAAGACCAGAGCAAACACACCAGCCCGAGGTCGAGCATCAGCAGCCCGCGGTCCAGCCTGGTGTCACCCGGACAGGAGAAGTACTGCGAGGGGAACAGCGTGATCAGCCCCCGGTCGAGTTACGCCAGCACGGCCAGCGACACCAGCAAACACTCCAGCCCCAGAACCAGCCTCAACAGCTACGACTGCGGGAGCAAACCGAGCAGTAACCGAACCAGCGGCATCAGCATGGGCTACGACCAGCGGCACATCAGCCCCCGGTCGAGCACCACGAGCCCGCGCTCCAGCTACTCCGACTCGCGCTTCACGCCCGCGGGGAACCACGAGCCGGAGAGCGGCGCGGTGCACGGCGTCCCCGTGACCAGCCCCCGGTCCAGCATCTGCTGCCAGGACGCACGACCCGCAGGGGTGGCCAACTGCGTGGTCAGTCCCCGCTCGAGCATCTCCAGCCACAGCTCCAGGAGCTCTCGGAGCTCCCGGGGATCCATGAGCGCGTATCCCGAGCTCCAGCTCCCCATGTTGGGACCCGGTTTGCCGGAGGACGCGCTGCTGCAGGACTTCACGGAGCCAAACGGCCTCCACAACAACCGCGTCCACCTCCAAACTTTTCCCGTGCTGGAGGAGCCGCAGCAGCAGAATTCAGACGTCAACATCGCGTTTAACTACGGGAAGATGGGCACCGGGGCGCAGCGCTTAAAGCTGCCGTACCAGATCACTCCATCCCAGGACAGCGGCCCCAGTCAGGCGGAGCGGCGCCTGGAGGCCCTCACCCTGGAGCTGGAGAAAGAGCTCGAAATGCACATGAAAAAGGAATATTTTGGTGAGTAGAACCAGGGTCACTTTTTGATTCACTTGTAATTAGTTTGTCTGGAGACATCAGGTCATTCCCCTTTGGAGAGAGCTTTGTTTTTTGTCTTTTATGCTTTCATAAAAACATGATTTTGAATCAACTTTTCTGGAATTGTTTGGTGGAAAAGTCATTCACACCGTGACACGCTCAAACACCCCTGAGCTGAGCCAGCACAGAGCAGCCTTTGTGTCGGACTCATTAAAGTATCATTAGGGTGTGGGAAAACAGGTGTAAATCATGTTTTGTCAATGAATCAGTGTGCTTTCTAGACAAGAGGGGTTATACTTGAGCACTTTGTATGTCTGCTTTAATCACATTATGATTATTTATCTTTGAGCTGGTTAAATGCATCATTCATCCAGACTTTTTCACCCAAAGGCATCATGCAAAAGATGCCAACTTTCCTAAACCTGGATCATCTCACAAGGCATGCTGCAACATAGACTAAAGACACTGTGTCTTTTCATTCATCAGTGCAGTTTTAATTCTCAAAAGGAGACTTAATGGCTCTGAATTGTTTTCTTTAATGATTAACTTTATCTTGGGTATCTCTCCCAATTAAAACCGACACAACTTAGTTAACAGTTGACGTCCAAAAAGTGTATAGAGCTATAAAATAAATCTGAATAGCAGCTCAGATCATTCGATCTCTGGAGAATTTGGTGAGTGCATTTACTGAGCACAGTTTGAGACATTGCTGAGATCTCTTTTGAAGCGCAGGACACAAATGTGAGTCTTTTTCTCAGTAGCAGGCACCTTCAGCAAACAAGACAAGTGTTTTGGTGAAACAATTGGGTAGATTTAGTAGAAATCAGTATTATAATCATAGTTCATGTTTGTTTGTTTGGTTAGTGTGTTGTTTTGATAAAACACAAGTTTTGCTCCCAACTCAGACGATTTAAGTATGTAGGTTGGTGCATGGTGCCAAATGCATACAAACTTTGGCTAAACACCGCAGTAACTGGCTCGTTTTGCATCGTAACCAGCTGATTGCTGATTGGTTTTAGTCACACCGGGCAGCCAATCACAACAAAGGCTGCTGGCATCCCAACTGGCACTGCCCAAAAAGGACATTGTAGTCAGTGAGCAGACAAACAGGGTTCTTAGCGGGCTTGTTTTTGGCCCGGACCTGGACGGAAAAAGGCAAGTCTTCAGAGAGTACATACTTTGTCTCCCAGTTTGAACGCCACTTCCTGCCAGTGTCCTTCCAAGGCCTGAACGTCAACAGAAATGCTCTTTAGAGGCATATGTGAGCATGTGTTTTTTTTCTTAGGGAAGTCCTAATTTGTGATTTGGCGGGACTAGTATTGGTTTAGTGGAAGAGAAATGCAGATGAAGTGCCTTCAAAGCTCTTTAAACCTTAAAGGTATAGTAGTCCACCCAAAAACGAAAGGAATGTTGGTTACTAAACAGTTGACGGTAGCCATTGACTTATATTGTATGGGGAAAATATGCATGTAAGTCAATGGCTACCGTTAACTGTTTGTTTACCAGCATTCTTCAAAATATCTTCTTTTGTGTTCAGCACACTAAAGAAACCCATACGGGTTTGGAACAGCTTGAGGGTGAGTAAATGATGAGAGAATTTTCATTTCTGGGTGAACTATCCCTTTAAAACTCACATATTGACTAGAATTAACAGAATTTAAACTCATTTTTTTGAGTAATCATTCATGTCTGGAGCACAAACACTGTTAGGGATTTGTTCAAATCATTAACCTTAGGTATGAGCAATAGTAATGCTTGCTTAGCGAACACCACTAATAAGTATGACTTTAACAACATGTTCATCTTTTTAAGTAACACAAGCTTTAGATCGGTTGTTGTGACTGTGTCGCATTGTCTCATCGTTTGTGTCTCTGTAGCAACTGGGCTTTGTTTCTGCTACTGCCTGGAAACACATTTGCACAGGTTTAGTTGCAGGAAGTCTAGAGATGGAGGTATGAGTGTGTTTTTGCCTCCGAGGAGCAGGTGATGTTTTTTTACTGCATGCCGAACCCTCTTTAGTCTGCATTAGTCTGCGCGTGAGAGCGAACCTTCTCCGTTACCGTGACAACAGCTCCCCTAAAATCAATCTCGCCGGGTATTCGTGATGTGTCTTTCTGCGCTCTTAAAGCTAGTAAAAATCTGTCAGCATTTTCTCACCGTCATGTTGTTCCAAACCTGTATCAGAATCTTCTTGCTGCTGTCAAGATCCTAAAATGAGAGAACTGCACTATAAAAGGAGTCTGTATTCACCCAAAAAGGGTCAGAATTGCATGGTCTTGCCCTATGCTGCAACTCTTACATCTCATTTGCAATCATGTGACATGCAAGAACCAAGTCGGTCTAACTGACATTAAACCTACAAAACGCCTCCATGTACCAGATTTGTACATGCTCTGTGAAATTTGAGAGCTGCAGCACAGGAAAGGTTATCAGTGAATTATCAGAAAACTTGTATAATAAAATATGTGCATAATAATAATATGTATGGACTACTATATGCATGCATGTATGGACTACTTTTATAGTACTTTTTTGAGCTCAAATGCCCATTGCATGCTTATTTGTATGGAAAACAGCTCTGCTGATCATTGCATTTTGTGTTTCACGGCCAAAAGCATGTAAAATATGGTAAATGATGAAAACATTTTCATTGTGAGTGACTTGTGTATGTGTGAGAAGCAAGGTTTTTATTGTTGTTTTTATTTATGCAGCAAAGTTCTTCTGAAAATAGAAATCTTTTGTAACAGTACACTCCCGTTCAAAAGTTTGGGGTCAGTACATTTTTTTTCTTTCTTTCTTTTTAATGAAAGAAATTAATACTTTTATTCAGCAAGGATGTGTTCAATTGATAAAAAGGGATAGTAAAGACTTCATATTGTTAGAAAAGTTTTCTATTTTGAATAAATGCTGTTCTTTTTAACTTTTGAAAAAAGTATCACCGTTTCCAAAAACATATTAAGCAGCAAAAACTGTTTCCAACATTGATAACAAATCAGCATATTAGAGTGATTTCTGAAGGATCATGTGACACTGAAGACAGGAGTAATGATGCTGAAAATTCAGCTTTGCATCACAGAAATAAATTATATTTTAAGGCCTATTAAAATAGAAAACCATTATTTAAATAGCAATAATATTTCACAATATTACAGTTTTTTTCTGTACTTTTGATCAAATAAATGCAGCCTTGATGAGCTTAAGAGACTTCTTTCAAAAACATTAAAAACCTTACCGATCCCAGACTTTTGAACGACAGTGTGTCAAACTAAATGTGCAGTTATCAGACTACATTAAAATGCACCCTTCAAAGTGCTCACTTTAAGTGTTCTGCCCTACAGAGTGAGTTTGATTGGCTTCGTTGTTTGGATTTACATTTTTTTTTACACTTCAATAGTTTGCATTTTTTGCTACGAACTTGGTGTAAAATTGCGAGCGATCACAAATAATGCACGACTGGTTGAATAAGCATTCAGGATCTTTTAGCGAGCGATTAGGCTGCCGTTTCAGCACCAGACTCTTGGCACAGACTGTTTGTCTCTGCAGCCAGACACAGCTGCTGGGGGTCAACACTGATCACCTGCTTAGAATAACAATCGTCTTAGTCCGCACATGTGCACACAAACATGCACAAAACACAGAAACACTCCAAAAGTAGCTTTGCTTACATTTGAGTTTCTCAGAGTAGCTGCTCCTGAGACGCGCTGGATGTTTTCTGCCAGCGTTATTCGCCTGCTTTAGCGCTGAATCAGCCGACCTCTGACCTCGTGTATCCACACAGGCATTCGGGATTCAGGCTCTGGTTTAAAATAAACACAGAATGAGACTTTGCTCGCCGCAGTTTCCATTCAGAGAATTGTTTTTTGCTCAAAGTCTAGCTGTGCATCGTTTTGATTTGGTGCAAAAGAAGTGCAGTAAATTTGGGTTCTAAATGCTGAGTTGCATGACAGTGTTGAGTGCATTTGGATTTTGCATAAATCTGTGCATGTTGTTGTTGTTATACATGAAGAGGTGGCCCAAACTATGGCAAAAAAATAAAATCTCAACTTTCTTCAGAATGTTTGACAGATTCAAGATTTCATTTGATAACTACAACATGATTCAAGTAACATTCTCTGGTTACACTTTACTTGAAGGGGTGTGCATAAGACTGACATGACACCTTCATAAGACTGACATGACACCTACATAATCAAGACATGACACATGTCATGAATATGAAGGTTTTTTATGCATGTTTATGACAACTGTCATTAAGTGTCATTCGCTCAGTTATGTAATTTTTAATGCAAAGATGACATTGTTTGAGATGTCTTTGTTATGGGCTATGGTTAGGGGTAAGGGTACGGGTAGGGTTAGGTCAAATAATGTCATATTTGCATTAAAAATGACATAACTGAGCGAATGACACTTAATGACAGTTGTCATAAACATGCATAAAACCTCCTTCATATTCATGATATGTGTCATGTCATGATTATGAAGGTGTCATGTCAGTCTTATGCACACCCCTTCAAGTAAAGTGTTACCCATTATC